GAAGTTGTTCTGTTTTGTGATAAAGACAATAATTATAGAACAATTTGCATAAATGTGGTTCCAAAGAACACAGATTTTGGTGATAGAGGTGACCTTACCCAGTATGTGCTGCAAGTATTATCTGGGGCCAAAAAGAAATTTGAACATTTCCCCCTGTCCACTATCCTGTAGTGGACAATGTTTTTTCTGAGGTGGAAAGACAGGCATTTGCTGAACCCTGTGTCATATTACGATTCAGTTTCTAAAGCAACTTTTTGAATCAAGGACAAAAAACAGCAATTTGTCATGAAGAAACGTAGAAGTCACAGATCCAGTGTTAAGTCTATCAGGAAGGATGGCTGTGAAATGATTCCTATTAGTATCTATTTGGGTGTTCGGAGTCAGTACACTGTGTGACTGTACAAAAAAAATCTCTCTGGTTTTTGAGAAAGAAAAAAAAACAAGCACAAAAATGCTGTCTTCTTAGTTCAAAGCTGTTTGTCAATTTTGACGTGAAAATTAGTCACATCTCCACGATAATAAAGAAGAAATATTTTTGTATGCCATCCTGTCGTAACCTTTATCTACCTTGTCCTCGGCTGCGGTGACGTTACAATCAGTTTTAGATCAAAATAATGTTGTTCATATTACTTCTAATTTTATATAAACTATCTATGATTATAATTGACTTTAATTTGTAGAATAAAAATGCTCCATTGCTGCAAACACGTTTTACAAGCACAAGCCACAGAGGGGCGCTTGGGTCGAGGCACTGTCAAAGTTATGACTTCTTCTTTCGGCTGTTCCCAGCAGGGGTTGCAATATGTCACTCTGTGAAGTAAGTGCAAAAATAAGAACAACAAATGTATAAAATGTTTTTAATTGTCAATGATTTTTTTCAGACATGGTTTTTGTTGTCTCAAAAACCATGTCTTGACAGACAGACATTAAAGACTACCGTCTTTTCCTAGACAGAGAATCTGGGAGTTTGACATGGAGCGACAAAACAAAAATAGACTTAAATCGACAGATATACAAAAACCTGGCCGTTATTCTCGCGACAGCACGTCCTCCTTGACCCTGTACTCATGGATATTAGCTAAATAATACTTTAAGGACCCGCCTTTGCTTTGGGATTTGTTCTGGGTGGCTGACAAATGAAACTGGTAAATATTTCATTATATACAGTAACTGATATTCATGAGTACAGGGAAGTACTGGAGACATGTGCAGCTGCTACTATCAGCACCAGAATAGTTGCTTTTCTCTCCTTTCTGATTGGGTGTTTACTCCATTAGTCTTCACTGTCTCATCCTGACTGGCACGTGGAGTGTTCCTCCCAGTGTGTGTTGGAACACAGACAAATCCTCATCAGAACTGTGAAATGGACAGAAATATTTTTTTTAAATTTACGGTAATGTTAATATTAACATGTATTATCTGGCATTAGTTGATAAAATTGATTATTGCTTTAAGGAGGAAAAATGCTTCTTACGTTCTTTAGGAATTCCTCCGCAACAATACGGGCCCTGGCGTTAACAGAAAGTTTCATCTCACTGATCTCCTTGTCAATTTCTTCCATGAAGTGAATGACAAAATCCACCAGCTTATGTTTGTACATCTGCTCCGTGTGGAAGTTGGTGATCAGGAAGCTAATGTCATAGCCCTGAAATCAAACACAAAAGAAATTCAGAAAACAGAAATAAGAAAACGTGACGACCTCCAGGATCACCTTTTACCATTTCCAATTGTTCTACTTTCAATTTGAGGTCACTTTTTATAGTATTTAAAGTAGGACAGCAGCATTACAACATTAGATTGACCGAACCTTTGTATTGCTATATCAGTCACAGTCTCTTACCTCTACTGGTTTCCTCCGCAGAATGAAGAAGTTCTCAGCTCTCATCATCATGAAGCGCATAAACTTGTGGCAAAGGATCTTCTCAATCTCGTCAGCCTGAAGTCAGTGATGAGAGAATTAGTCCGACATTGGTTTCTTGAAAACATCATTGTGTTAAATCGTGCAGTACGACAATCTAGCACTATTAAATGAGGCAACAACATTTTGAAAAACTCTGTCACCTGTTTTACAGCAATGCTGACTCTGACAGAGTTGATGGATCCCTCAATGAGAACCTTCTCCTTGTCATTGCGGCTGATGACCACAGGCTGCAATAACAGCTCTTTGCTGCTCCTGCAATTATAGAATTTTCTATTAACAAAATCTTTGAGCTTTTAAATGTTTTAAACTCTACCATTTACATATGAACACATCTGTAACCCTCCATTTTCACAATCTCCTGATATACTATATATGAAAACAAGCTGCAACAAAAGCCCACAGGTTCATTTCTACCACTCTGTCCCTGCATGTGCCTTTTTTTTTCTCCTACTAGATTTTCTTATGCAAGTTTGCACAAGTCTACACTTGTTTGACTGAGGCAGATGATCGCTTCAAGGCACAAGAAACAGGGCGAAGCAGTGCAGAAGCTTTACACTGCTAGTCAACATACCTGACCTCGACTTCTGGTTTGTTGTGGCGTTCCACTACCTGTGAGGAGAAGTTCTCAAGGCAGAGAGCGGCCTGCAGAGTGGCCTTCACAGCGTTTAGGTAGGGACGCAGAGTCGCTGTCTGAGAACAAGATATATAAGAGTAGAATCTGAGTAGTAAAAAACAACAACAAGTTTAAGCGTTGTGCATGTGCTAAGTACAGTAGAGATCCTGTTGAAGAACCAACATGAAGCATTCTGCTGTAAAACCATGGAGTTTCAGTGCTCATTACAGCACAGCTCCTTTCATTACAAGGAAACGCGGTTGTCTTTATTGTAAATTGGAACCCTTTCTCCCTTAAAAAATAGAGATGAAATGTTGAATTGTTTGACTAAAGAATGTGTCCCATGGTTCTTTTGTGCAATCTTTACTGAGCTTCAGCCCAGACAGCCTGATGGTATTTCTGCAAATGGATGTGTGTCTAAACCTGAAATGATACTGTGTCAGGATGCAGCATTTGCGAATTGACAATGACTTCCTAAAATTGTGTTTATCTCATGTGGTTATGTCCATCTTTCTTACCGTTAGGTATATACATATTTATCAGCAAATTTTACTTTTTTCTTTCACAGTATTTTCATAGAGATGCAGAACATGTGACAGACCTAAATGTTTGTTAACACCATACTTGTAAGTGAGCACAAAGTGGTTTAACAAACCTTTTTGCAAAGACTGAGCATCAACTGTTACCCAAATATGTATATACATACATAAAGCTGTAACTGTTAAAATAAAGATTTGAGGAACTTAACAAATTGCTACGTGTATGACATTTTAGTCTTACGTTTCCGTTTAAACTTTTTATTTTTGTATTTATTTTTTGCGGAAATCAGTATCAATTTTCATTTTTAACAATGGTACGATCGCTTTGTAATTCAATAATAATAGATAAATTCATTTATTTCTGCAAATGTAATACTTGTAAAACTTACACTTGTATATTTTCATGTTATTACACCCCCGATTTTTGACCAGAAATACTACATTTTAATTTGTAGATAGGAATTTCAGAACAGTGCAAAAATTTTCTTGCAATCAAGAGACAGCAGATAAGAACGAGTGGTCTGTTGATTGATATAAACGTACATTTATTAAAAAGAAAACAAACAAAACAATTAAAAGAAAATACCGACGAAAATATAGTTCCTGCAAACCCTGTCAGAAGATGCCTGACTGTCTAATTTTTACTGGAGCCAAACACAACCCCCCACCTATGAGTAACACCGGTTAAGCCAGCCAACAGGCCAAACACAATTTTAATGTAAATTTAACTTAAATGTGGCAAAATAATAATTTGACGTATAAAAGATAGCATTTATGAGAGCAGACCTACCATTTTCGTGCTGTCAAAGACGGAAGTTCCACAGCCACGCCTGAGACTCTTCTTCCGTAAACCCTACATCGCCGAGAGGAACTAGGGGGTGCTTGTTTTATTGCACACTGCTTTCGTAAGGGCGGGTTTGCAAGCCGCTCCAACCATTTTCTATCACACCGTCCTATTGGGCAGATTTTAAAAAACAAGCATACCCCAGAACAGTCCATTGAGCACCCTGAATAGGTGACTTCACTCAAAACGGTTTGTGTTCAAAGAATTGTTCGAGCATTTGTTCCAAATTTTGAAATAAAATAAATGAGAGGAGATTTTACTGTATATATGGCAAATTAGCATTGTGTAATTCCCTATTAAAGACCCCCAGGCATTTAATCTTTTTTTACATCTCGCTGTATGGTTAGCTCCGTTGATGTTACTCTTGATGTAGAAGTCTTAAGTGCGTTGGTTTTGGTGGGAAGTGGCTTTTCTAGTTCTCTAACATTGAGATATGACATTTGTATTTGTAATTACAATCTTCTAAGGGGGTTTAACATTGTTTGAGCAACCTCACCCCCGCATACCAAGTGGTTTCTTCCAACATGGACGCCGTATAACGACGGTAAATATCGTTGCGCTTAAACATTCAAAAAGAAGCGTTTTTACAATTCGTTTGCAAAACCCGACTTCCATAGGTTTGAGATTGTCGTTGCAAACAAGATTTTGTGAAACCATGATACCACAGTGGTCGGTACTAAGCAGTAGTTAAGGGTATTTTGGACAGTTTAGACGGACTGTGAAGTAGAACCTTACACGCGCCATGCACGCGTACGTGCATGGTCGTGTGTGTGATGAAGGTAGAGACTGGGGATTGAATAAAAAAATACGCGTTTGCACCGAAGTGGCGTGCCTGGACACAAAAACTAAGGCTTTCTCACAGATGATACGAGGGTTTCCAGTTTACACAATTTACGGTTCGGTATCGGAAACGTCGGCAAAAGTGTATTATAATCCCGTGTTCTTCTTTCTTAGGAAAATGTATGTTCCGGTAAATGTAGTCAAAAAGAAAAATAATGTTTATATTGGTTATATATATAACAATATAAATGTCAAGAAAATGAACATAACATTTGTATTATTACAATTGTGCTCCGCATAATTCGACTACAGCAACATGCCCATTGGCGATTAATAGAGGATGATTTAAGTTCTCCTTCCAAAAAAAAAACAACCAATGCAGTGTTTTTGGAAAAACGTTAAACTACTCAGTTAGTTCACAGTGAGTTCCCATGTTTTAGATTTTCCACAACAATGGCTATTAACCTCTTCTTTTTCAAAGGAGTAAAATTGATAAAAAAAAACAAATATATTTTCCTACCCAACCATTTGTCTTCTCTGTTCAAGCAGGTAGTGCCGGGTCCAAACCAGACATCATCATGAGTGAGCTGAAGGATTGTCCACCTCTCAAATACTATGACTTCAAGCCTGTAGAGCACGTCAAGGTATGTCCACGCTACACAGCCGTACTTGGTCGCTCAGAGGACGATGGCATCGGCATTGAGGAGCTGGACACCTTGCAGCTGGAGCTGGAGACGCTTCTGTCCTCAGCTAACCGTCGCCTCCGGGCTCTAGAGGAGCAGAGACAGGTGGGACAGAGAGAGAGAGATAATTCCACAGTGTCACAGACAAAATATAAATAATACTACTAAAAGTGCAAATGTTTTGTGTCTTTGTACACTTTTACTTTGTATCCCCTTGTTGTGTAGTCAAAGCTCTTCTCTGTTTTAGATTCTAACAGACTGGCAAGACAAGAAAGGCGATAAGCGTTTCTTTAAGCTGGGGAAAGATCCAGACCCTGCTGCCACATCCCGCCACAAACAAAAGAAACAGAAGGTGGATGGCAAGGGCAGTCACGGACCAGGTCCTGGCCCAGGCCGACCCAAGTCCAAAAACCTGCAGCCTAAAGTCCAAGAATACGAGTTTACAGATGACCCACAAGACATTCCCCGCACTCCTAAAAATGATGCTCCTAACAGGTTTGCTCGTACTCTTATATATTCCTCACTCACACTTTTTCTCAGGGCAGTGTCATCTCTGTTACAGTAAAACCAGTATTCATCTCCAAGCATATATTTATTCACCCAGTCAATTTATTCTTCTGTTTATATTAGTTTTTTTATAAGAACCAGTTTGTGTTTACCAGGTTATGTCAGGAATATATCTAACAACATGTTAGCATAATAAACTAATAGGAAAACAGATATATAATGTGTAATTGTGACCATTGTTTTATATGTATACATTTTTCATATTATTTCAGGTTCTGGGCCTCAGTGGAGCCATATTGTGCTGATATTACAAACGAGGAAATACGTTTGCTTGAAGAGCTTCTTAAACCTCCCGAAGATGAAGGGGAATATTTCAAAGTGAGCCATCTTTACCTGCAAATGCCTTAGAATCTTATAATATATTTTTGGTGTTAAAGTGTCTAAATCTTTGTGTCGGTTATCGTTACTTTTTGTAGGTTCCATTGCTGGGCAAACACTACTCCCAGAGATGGGCTCAAGAGGATTTGTTAGAAGAACAGCGGGAAGGAGCACGAGCCAATGACAAGAAGAAAGGCCTCATGGGAGGACCACTGTCAGAGCTGGACGCAAAAGGTTAGAAAGGCTTGTGTCTGTTACCACTACACCTCTGTCTCTTAGTTTAACTCTATTTCTGAAACACAAAATCACATTTGCTATACACAAATAATTAAAATGAAAGTGGAAGTTAAGAAAAGTTGCTAAAAACAAAGTGAATTAAAAAGTGGAAAAAAACGTGTATCACCCTTCATATTTACTTTAAATATAATAACGTTTCTGATATGCATGACCCTTCATTTTCACGTGGAACTTCTGCAGATGTGGACTCTCTGCTGAAAAAGTCAGAGGCTCAGAATGAATCCCCAGAAGACAGCTGTCCCTTTGGACCTCTCACCCAGCGTCTTCTCCAGGCTCTTGTCGAGGTCAGGCTTCAGATTTGGTGACCCATTTTACACACTCAGAACCAAGACTTTGAAAAATTAATGAGGAGATTTTTAGACAACCCCCCCCGATCCCCCACTAAATACACATTATTTATATGTGAAGTAAAGCATGGCCACAACTGCTGACTTTTATTGCTGTTTTCTCTCAGGAGAACATTATCTCTCCCATGGAGGACTCTCCTATACCTGACATTGCAGGCCGAGATAATAACGATGGAGCTGGAACATCTCCACGAAGCCAAGGGAAGGCTTTCAGGTATTTGTGCCTGAGCTTGTGTTGTTTGGTTTGCTCACACCATCATTATTTTTGACTTGCTACTTTGTACTGATGTTTTTAAGCTTGAAATGAGTTTCGTATCACCTGTACATCACCTGTATAACCGCTCGATAATAATTTATTTTAAATGTTAAATAGCTCTTCACAGATTGCCTGTTTTTGTCCTTTGTTCCAGTGTCCCTCACACACGGTCCCTTGAGGCACGTATTAAAGAAGAGCTGGTAGCTCAGGGTCTGCTGGATTCTGAGGAGAGACCTGGACCAGGCGGAGACTCGGAGGATGAGGTCCTGGCAGAATTACAGAAGAGACAAGCAGAGCTCAAAGCTCTTAGTGCTCACAACAGAGGCCGCAAGCAGGAGCTGCTCCGGTGAGAGAATTGGCCTAAAACTAACAAAACCTGAAGACTGATCCTTGTACACCAAAGACAAATCAGCTCAATCAGATTTTTAGTATACAAAGTGAACATTACACACTTTATCTTTGGCATCAGTGGCCTGGTGGTTAAGGAAGTGAAGTGATGTGTCACAATGACAAATAAATCACTTTCACCTTTTCACTTCACTTGAAATAGATTTATACTTTCAGTGTACAGTTTGTTGAGGTGTTATCATCTTCTGCTTGCCTTTTTTTTTCTCATAGGTTGGCCAAGGAGGAGATGCGTAAGCAGGAGCTGAGGCAGAGAGTGCGGGTCTCTGACAATGAAGTGATGGAAGGATTTCGGCGACTCATGGCAGCCAGGCAGAAGAAACGCACTCCAACCAAGAAGGAGAAAGACCAGGCATGGAAATCACTGAAGGAGAGAGAGAGCATCCTGAAGCTGCTGGATGGATAGTAAAATGACAGTTTTGTCTTTTTTTATTATTATTAATATTACATTTTCCATACAGGACAGTCTGGGGTTTACAAACATCTATAGCTGTACTCAATGATTATACAGTTAACTGGAGTGTTACATGATTTGACCAGGATCATCTGCAGTGTTTTTATCTCATTTACAACACAAAGATTTATGTTTTTTTCATTTTTGATTTCCTTTTTTTTGTTTTTTTTGTTTTAGGTTGCTTTTTTATTTTTGTTACGGTGGTGATATTGTAAAAAAATTCAGATGTTGTAATAAATCAGTACAAATTGTTGAGATTGCTTCATCAGTACTTCTTTTTAAGCAATTCTAAAAATGTAAGTATTCCTCCTAAATCACTAAGAAGGCTAAATATAAATGATGCATTTGATTGTTTTTCTTATTTTCAGAAACCTGCAACATAACATTTTGTTACCTTGTAACTATTTAATTTTCATCATAATATTTTTCCCTAATTGCGTTCTTTTAATAATTATCGTCTATGATTTTAGCTTGATTAAAGCTAACTTTTATTTTATTTCCAAGGAAAATGTGCAAATAACATTTATTTATTTTATTTTTAATAATTAAGTATTCATTACATGTGCTAAAGTCTAACAAAGTAAACCGAACGTAAGATTATTTTGTGTGAGCTACGAAAGCCAAAAATGACTTCATAAAAACATCTTAATGTTTTTAATCCCAGGAGCATTTCATATATGACGTATACGATTGTTAATTGAAGCGTTTAAAGTAGTTGTCTATGTTTAAATTAGCAAACACTAGGGGTCAGCAGAATCTCTTAGATGAGCGAAGTAACGCAAGCGATTGCAGTTTCCCCCTAAACTTCTAAAGTAAAAGAAAAAGAAAACTAGAAGTAAGAACAACTGGTTTAAATTCTGTATTAAACATTTTACTGAGTAAGCACATGGGAATTTAAACAGAAACACAAGAGAGAAACAGTGAAGAGAGAATAAGGGTAAGACTCCGAAAGAAAGAGGGTTGTCTGGTGTCGGGTGTCATTTCTGGGATTGGATCCTCTCAGCTTCAGTATTGTTTTGGTTCTGTGTGTTGGTGTCTGTCTCCTGCTGCCTCTGCTGTCGTGGATGCATGAAAACATTCAGGTGTTGTTTGACTCTTTCACTAGTGTTCCTGTTTTTAGAAAGTTATCATGAGGAGACAGAGAGGAGACATGGTCCTGCAGGCGCTGCTTCTCATCCATGGTGAGTTAAAAATCCTGTTTATGTTACGGACTTTTCGATGTTTTTACAAACCAGACCTGGTCATTTATGTCACTGTTATTTTGACCTCAGTTTAAAAAAAAATCACAGTAAGTAGTGAGTAAGTGGAGACGTGGGAAACTTCCACATTCATTTAATGTCAACACAATATTTTTCATACCATACCCATTGTTAAAGACCTCTGCTTTACATATTCCATATGGGTCTCTATGGAAATCACTATGTATCCCACAAAATTTGACATTTGGTCAATACAATAGTCAAGGCTTCACCGTTGGACTTTGTTTTGCACCTGAATGAGAACTACATTTCTCATATACAGTCTTGGGTTCAGCCCTATTTTTTGTGTTTGTGTTTTTAAGCTGAATTTAAGTCACCCAGGCCTCACATGGATGTGTTGACTGGGCAGTGTGTCAATGCATTTGGCACATGAGTGTGTTAGAGAAGGCCCTTCACCCACTATGGTATCCCTGTGTGAATGAGCAAATAGCAACTCTGTTGTAAAAAACACTTTGACTCTTCATCTAGACTTACAATCTAGTCCAGGCATAGGCAAACTACAGCCTGTTTGGCTTTTTAATCCTACCCACCAAACCTTTACAAATTATATTATTAATTTCTATTTTCATTATATTTCTGTCTTTCCACTGCAATGCCCATATTTCCCCAATAGATGGCGTTGACCTTGCTGAAAGCATTTTAGGATTTTAGCCTTTACTGAGTGACTTTTACATGCCATTTGTTTTAGTTCATACTAAAACTCCATCTATCTCCTCCTGACCCGGGCCCCTGTCAAAGTTTAGGGCCCATTGTGGCCCATGAGTTAAAAACTTTGCCCACGCCTGATCTAGCCCACTCCTTCATTTGGACTCTACATCAAATTTGTCTTGATCAATGACGTGGGCCCCAAAGGGCAACAATGCCCATTGCCCTTTGGCTACAAAGCAGCCTAAATCACCCACATGAGGCCTACGGACAAATAAATGTGGTTCCTGTTTTTCAGCCCACAAATAAACACTGGCAGGCGTAAATAACTTGTGTCACATGATGTTGATGTCACACAACAAAAGTCAAACAGTCATTCCTTGTCTAGGCCATATTTTACTTTGAGAACTTCGAGAATATTCAGAGACCAATTTGAAAGTATTACAGTGAGTCACTGCCCTGATATTAAGAAGCAGACAATATTCCACTGACTGTGTTTGGATTCAGGTCAAAACCAGACTCAGCTGCAGATTTCCATGTGTCCACTTCGGCTTCAGAGGCAGACTTCTGATGATGTGTCAGATGACTGTGTGTTTAAAGAATCTGGACCAGTAACCAACGCTTCACTTCGCACATTGGTTTTATGTCGCTGCAGCACATTATCTGGTTTTTACTTCATGTCTTACCATTGGTTTTCATGATAATGATAGTCACTGTGGCCTGACTTCATAACCAGGCCTGAAAGTCTCTACTGTGGTACATTAATTACGTTAAGCTCAGAGGGTTGCAGCTGAGATAATCCTTAGTGATATCAACACATTAACATCCGGACAGCCTTCCTGTCACAGCTCTCCTCATTTGTCTGGACTCAGAAGCAGCACTCTTGGTCCAGGGGATGATAACATCGTTGGGCTAAGTGTCCTAACTAGAGACACAGAGCTGAATTCAAAGCCAGGCTTCTCTGTGGGAGTTGAGGTCACTTCCCAGATGACATCATCAGAGTCACTGTGGGTTATAAGGAATGATTGCAATTATCAAACCACATGAACAGGGACTTTTGCGCTACTGTCTTTTTGTGACCTGTTCTTTCTGTTGGTTAGAGTTAGTGGTATTTAAAGACCGGTTTTATTTACCTTTTAGTCAATGTATGTTTTTTAACTTTTTCCCTTTCTTGGTCTGTTTCATTTGTTTATCTGTTTAGTTTCAATATCATGTGTTTAAGTTATGGCTAACTTTAAACAAAGTTAGGTTAACCTAAAAGTTAGTATTTAGTTAGTCATTCTTTACCAACCTTTTAACTATTTATAAACCCACTTCAGTCATTTTAGCCAACATTTTCATCTTTCTTTACCTGATGCTTATCCAAAGGTTTTTAACAGGGGGTCTGTGTCCCCAACGTGGGGCTGCAGGGTGTAGGAGGGGGCATTGAGAACCTCTACTCTAATCTAAATTATTTTTTAATAATAATAAATAAAAACATAAATATATGGCACTGGTGGAGGAGTTGTTTGTATTACAATTGTGAAGCTGGAATTTACATCCTAAGAATCATTAGGGCAAATCTTAGGGAAATCTTTTACTGCTTTAAGGTCTGCTGACTTCTCAGCCCTGTGTTTACAAAGCAGCACAGACTGCTGCAGACTGCCCATCTGTTCAAGTCGTCACCTTGTTCACTTCTTTTCCCACCATTTCTGTTTCAGTCCCGGTGGCGTTCCTCTTCACCACAGGTATGTTTTTCTCTCTGCACCTTTTGAAACTCTACAGTTATTTTGGTACACATCACCTAGAAGATTTAATAAAAGTTGACTTCCATGAACATGGCTCTGTCCCTCAGCATCAGGTCAGTCTGACAGCAGCAGCAGTGTGGTGGTGGCGGGTTACAATGTCAGTGGTACTGCTGGCTCCAAGATAGTGCTGCAGTGTGTGAGTGGTCGCATGGTCTGGACCAGAGATGAGGTGAGGGACCGACAGAGGGTGGTCCACTGGGACATGTTCCGGGCCTCTCCTGACTACGCCATGGAGAGGGTGGTGGACATGTTTTCTGCAGGAGACCAGAGGGTCTACAACTCCTACAACATGGGCAGAGTGGGCCTCACACCCACAGCCTTCAAGGAGGGAAACTTCTCACTGATCATCAAAGGTCAAAATGGAACCATGAATTCTTCAGAAATATGTTTTTTATTGTTGTGAATTAAAAATATCTGTGGCCGTTCCAATTTGAGGTACCCAGCCCTCAGGTTGTGTACCTCAGATCTTTCATGAATATTATTTTAACTGTCTGTTTCTTTCTGCACTTGAGGACAGACGTGACAATGAACGACAGAGGACTGTACTCGTGTAACCTCCACCATCTCTACTGCCACTTGTATGAAACGGTCAGGGTGCAGCTCAACGTCACTAAATCACGTATGTTCACACTCTACACCAGCTATTGTTGTCTTGAAAGAGTCACAGTTTCATTAAACTGACTCAGTTTCCTCTGTTTTTTGGACCATTACGATGCAGGTCGTAAGGAACAGCGTTACTGGGATGGGCACAAGGTTGTGTATGTGGTGATGCTTGGCAGCACGGTGGCGCTGCCGTGCATAAACCGACGTAATGTGTGGACAGACTGGAGCAATGATGAGGAGGATCAACAGGTATATACTGTATGGACAATAACCTATACCAATATATATAAAACATTCCCAGATCATTTTATCCTAAGAAGTTCTACAGTCGGTAGAACAAAATATCTAAGAATTTGATTAACACAAGGACAGAATAAATGACTCTGTCTTTTGATTTGATGGACACCAGGTGGTCCACTGGGACAGACAGGCTCCAGGAATCCAGCATGACCGCGCGGACCGGCTGGTGGACCTGTACGCCTCGGGAGAGCAGCGCAGCTATGGGCCGCTGTTCCTGCAGAGAAAGATGAACATCAGTAACCAAGCCTTCGCTGAGGGAGACTTCTCACTCACCATATCTGATCTACAGGTGAGCAAGAGCAAAACAGCTGCACACAGAAACATCCAGACAGTAACAACACTGACTGGAAAAGACACTCAGTCTCAACATGACAGCCAGCCAGGACAGAAGGGAGAACAGATCAGCCAATAAAAAGTCAGCGATCTAATAAAATCCACACCTGCTCTTGTCAGTGGCATCTTAAAAGATTTAATTTGCTGTTGTTTTTGACAACAAAGCAAGGTTTGCAAACAACTCACTCCAATACCTAAAGAGAAAATCATGAAAACATTTTCCTTTGTGTAGCGGATAGCATGTCTGCCTTACATCCAGAGGGCTTTGGTTTGAGCCCCCAGAGAAACCAAATATCCGTAATGGTGCCTCCGGTGGCAGCCTATGTGGGTTGCAAAGACACACTGTGAATTTCCCCATTGTAGGATGAAAAAGAGCCTCAGATTTATTCATTTTGAAAACACAACTGAACCTGGGCCAAAATATGGGAACTTTGAAACTACTTTTTTTTTAAAAAAAGATTAAATTACTTGACATTGTTCCACAAGGTGAAAGGTCAGTTAAAGCAAGGAGATCACCTGACAACTTTCCTGTGTGGAACTGTAATTTACATTCAGGAACATTTCCAGCAGTGGAGTACAGTATCCACTGCAGTGTGCTGATGCTGCTGATTTTGATGCAGTGTTTGGCGAACATGTGTTGCACATGTAGCATGTGGAACATGTGGAACCCTCATCAGGGAACGCTGCTCTTGTTAAGTTAAACTTTATTGTCCTGTTGAGAGATGGAGCTGGCAGCCACAGCCATCACATTGTCTTCTTAAACATGAGCAACAGCAACATAACATATAACACTACAATGACCAAAACACACACAGTCCGCCTACCAGTCCTGTTTGTGCAATTTTCTATAATAAAATCCATCGAATGGAATCTGAAAGGGTTTTTCTGTGGGATTTATCTCATAAATCAGAACCTCTAGGTTAAAAACAGGCTCAAAAGCACGTAGGCGTTAGAGCACACTGTGGAATGAGCCCAGATTTCCTGTCTGCTCTAGGAACCACATAGCTATGGGCATAACCGTTGTGTTTCTTGTTAAATGACAAAAACAAAACCCTAACTAATTTAATTGAGAATGATAATTATCATTACACACTGCACCACATAGATTGTTGTTTTTCTGAGAGGGTGTTTCCATTTCATCACAAGTGTAAATGTTTGTTTATTTGTGAAACCGGAAAACAATAATGATAAAAAATCTTCAACATTATTTCTACAATTGCATCTTTGGCACAGATGATACCAAACACAAAAGAATGTTCCATGTTTAAACACATTTACACCTATAAGATGAACAGCTGGTTGAAGAAGTCTAGACCAGTGGTTCTCAATTTGATTTCCATCAAGGCTCGATAATCTTTTATTATAAACTTTTCTTTTACTAAAATGTATAATAATAAAGGCGTCTTGTCACAGCCCACAGATGCAGGGATGTACTCCTGCCATCTTCACCATCACTACTGTGGTCTCCATGAGAGGAGGGAGTTCCAGGTCAATGTGGAGGCACCGGTCATCCAGACCACACATGCGCCCAAAGCACTGCCTGCAGAGGACAAGGGTATATACACACACAGACAAACACACACATCTGTAATTTCCGTCACTGTTCCCCTCAGACCACTGCTTGTTTTGACCTTGTTCAACATTGCTGTGTTGAGTCTTTACGGCCCCAGACTCCCTGAACGATGAGTGGATGAGGATGAGGGAGAATGATGAGGGGAGCAGAGATGAAAACTCCCCTCCTTCATCTCTATTTCGGCAGTTTTCTGTTTGTTTTTCTTGCACTGTCAGCCTGTCTCATGCCAGATCCCTGAAACCACTGACTCTCACACACTCCCACAGACCTCACCCTCATCATTTTTTCACCTTCCGTTCAACCCAAACTTCTTCCCTGCCTCTGTCCATTTTTCTCTCTTTTTGTTTCTCTTGTTGTTAATGTAGCAAGTTGTTCTTTGCTCATTCTTCACTCTTGAGTTTGAATATCTTTCTCTTTTCTCTGAGAAAACCTTCTTCAAGTCAACATTAGAGAGGAAAGGAGTGGGCGGTTTGGTCAGTGTGTTGGACGGCCAGCTGTTTGTCTGCCTGTCTAAGTTCCACTCGCTAACTGAGGCACTTCTGTAAATGGGAGATTTATCAATGTGGGAAAAGTTGTGAGCAGTTTAGAAATAATACCTCTGTGTACTGTGTGTATCTTGTGTGTATGTGTGTGTGTGCGCATTTGTGCATGCCAAGAAGAACTATCATTTCCTCGGAATCTCAATTCGGTTCCAGTTTGTGGACTGCAGTCTGTTTCTGCCTACACAATTAATCCGTCACTTGCTGAGCTGTAATAAGCAGTGGGATTGTACCATGGGAGTTCTCAACCAATGGGGCTGGCCTTATCTGGGCTCAACTTGGGGTCTTAAAGCCCCTCAAGTAGCTAAACAAAAGTCAACAGTTGGACTGGAGATGTTGGCCGTGACCCAGATCAAGGCATCTGAATAAAAAGGAGGAAGAAGGGGAAAAAAAACGCCTCTATGACGTGTTTGGAAAATAAACAAAACATCAACTTTGTACTCACTAAAAGACAGCATTACACCTTTATCTAAGCACAGAGAGACATATGGCTGCATTACTTCCACAGAGCGTCTGCTTCATACCAAACACACTACACAGGCGATGAGGTTCTGTACTTACAGAGAGGGTTTCTGTCCACAGATGTAGAACAAATGTATCAATGCCAGATTTTCATGTTTAAGTGTTTAACTGGCTGTGTTTTAAGATACCCAATAAAAAAATGCATTGTTTCAGCCCCCCCAAAAATAGTTGCTCTTTTTAAAACGGCGTTTAGATTCTAATGTGTAAGAACAACACTCATACCTATGGTCAGAGTGGACAGTTAATCTCATCTTGTATGTTTTTGCACTGTGGGAGGACGCAGAATTACTCTGAGAAAATATTAACTAACAAAAAGTTGCTGGCAATGGAATTGTGACCTTCTTACTGTAAGGCAAGGGCACTAACCACTCTTTCTCTGTGTAGACCCACTGAAATATCTTGAAATAATCTTCTACCTCCCTTCTAAACATTTATTGCGCAATTGTTAAATACAGTGTTCTTAATTGATGCTGTCATTGAAAATGTTTTTCTTCAGAACTCTTAATCGCTGCTTTTAGAAAACCAAAACAACAGAACAGGATTGAGTTGTTTCTGTTTTTTCTAAGCTCTCAGACGTTCATGAAAACATTTCTATCTTCTCTGCTCTGGTCCTTTGACCGTCTGCTGCACTTTTGACGTACTCTCTCCACTTCCTGCAGGCAGATTTTCCTGCAGTCGTTTTTCTGTTGTTGTTGTTTGTTTTTTAAACTGGTCTCTATTTGAACACTTCTCTGACACTTTCTTCTTCTCTTCACTTTGAAGACCTTACATTCCTTAGAGTAACTTTAATTTTACCACATTTCCCTCTCCCCAACTCTCTCGTTCTTGGTCTCATGCTGCTTTGACTCTTAATGTAAAGTCAAAAGAATTCTGTTTCATATTCATGCCTACAAGGCAGGCACTGAGAAAAGCAAAACAGAGGAGTGCACAGAGAGAGAGAGAGAGAGAGAGAGAGAGAGAGAGGGATAGGTTTGGGTCAGTGGAAGAAGGCAGAGGAAACCAAGAAAAGGAGACGAGGTGAACTAATGAGGAGGATATGTAGGTCACCACTCCCTGTTTTCTTCTGTCCAATCTCTTAATGTCATTTCTAAAGTATTTCCCTATTACCGAAAAACTTGGTACACTTCCTATAATGGATAAAAAAAATCTGTTGTTTTGGACAAAATGGACAAAAACACTTTCATTTAAAACAATTATGGTAATAAGTTTGGACATCAGAAGAAAATATAAATGTAAAGTCTATCGAAGGTTTGGTGTCGGCAAACAACGATGTGTCACAGCTCTTTAATTTCTTCTATAAGAAATGTCTGCTGGTTGGCAGCACTTGTACCTGATACTGTATCATCTACAGTGAATACTAGTTTTTGTGTATAATGGCCAAGTATGGAAGCGTTGGTAACTAACGTGTGTGTGATATAGCGCTGAGCATACACTAATCTTTCAAGCTGTGCACCAACATTTTTGTGACACAGAACTTAGTTACACTACATACACTGTCTTTGAGGCTGGATGATGGTTATTTAACCAACAGTAGATCAGAGGACATCTGCTATAGAAACAACAATGCCCTGAGGACAGATTGTGTCCATACACACTTAGGAATGTGGACACATGTGTCCTCAGACAAACTCTGTATGTGGTTACGGTACTTGAGAACATAGATTTGAGGTGTTCTTGGTCGCAGAGCTGTACGTTGGTACCAGGTCTGAACATCGAAAGATATTCTCCTCAGCTCAAACAAATGCACGAAACATCTTGAACCAATGTTAAAGGAATTGTACAGATGTAAACATGTTGTTTACATGTCTGCTGCAGACAAACAGCTGCACGAGACGAGAGTTTGAGCGGAGAAATGTTTCTAATCCACTTCATTCTGAAAGACAGGTCTCTGGAGAAATAATCTCACCATCCCTTCCTTTCCCTGATGTGTCCTGCTCTGCTCCTCTGCTGCCCCTCTAACCGCCCCCCCTTCCTTCAATCTTCCTCTCCTCACATTTCTCTGTAATGCTGCCAGGAAAAGTAAATCATGGCATGACTCTCTGTCTGGATCTCATTTTGGCTCAAACATGCCAACTCTGAGGTCCGCAGCTGCTTCTTGCCTTGCACATTCTTTAATTTTTTTTTTCAATGAGTCAAAATGAGGGCTGGCAGCCCCTCTGTCCTCTGCCACTCAGCTCTCTGCACATTTGGCATACGTCATCTAAACCCAACCTGCTAATTACTCCACGCTTCCATAGAAATGTGTCACTCCCAGAGAATTTCATTGCAAAGAGAAAATGCATCATTAAAAAACAAATGTCGGTCTCAGATTATTAGACACAAAAACTCCTGAATGCATTGGTCTTTGAGGTTGTGTGAGTTAATTAACTGTTATGTTTTTGCAGGTTTCAGTCTGCATCACAACACGTTACGTTAGCGTCTGTATGTTCATGTCTTTTTCAGTTCAACTTTTAGATTTACCTCACTGACACAGGTTTACCAACCCACTACCAGCAAACTTTAAACTCGAATTCCCTTTGTGGACTTTGGTGTGGGAGAATTAGAGGATCACGAACTTCAACGTTATTATTTTGTATAAATCTATTACCGTAATTGGGTGAAAACATGTTCTACACCAGGCGTCGGCAAACTTTTTGACTCGCTGGCCACAATTGGTCCTAAAATTTGACAGGTGGGCCAGGTCAGAAGTAGATAGATGGAGTGTTCATGTGAACTAAGATAAATGACATGTAAAAGTCACGCATAAAGGCTAAAATGCTAAAATGCTTAAAAACGCCATATTTTGGGGTAACGTGGGAATTGCAAGGAAAAGGCAGAAGTAAAATGATAATATATATAAATTATGTAATTTGGAAAAGTTTGGTGGGCCAGATTAAAAAGCTGAACGGGCCGCATCTGGCCCCCGAGCCTTAGTTTGCCCATGCCTGTTCTAAACTAATAATAAATAAATTTCAGTGTTCCTCCTAGGTTTATATCATTGGTTTATACCACCATAGCAGTGGCCGCAGGACAAACAAGATCACAGTCAACAGAAAGGAATCCTGTTTGATAAAGATACTTATACAACACTATTGTACACAACATGTTCACAACATCATACATTATCGGTTATGACTCATGGATGTCAGTTTGGAGGGCAGACTGCATCTTTAAAATGACTAATAAAGTTAGGAATAATGAGATACAGACGGTGAAGTGAAGACTTGTCTTGAATGAGTAGTTTATTGGAGTCAGGCATGAAATGCATCAAATCTGCTCTGCGTTTCCTTCTGTTGTTTATTGCATTCGTAAAACTCATGGTGACTGTGTGTTTGTCAGAGAGTAAAAGAGCAGGAATCAGGGGAAAAGAAACGCTGACAGCTGTGATCTGTTCCACTCAGACTCCGTCAAGGCTGAGTCACCCAGAGTCATCAACGTGATAGTGCCAGACCAGAGACACCACTTTCTCCTGCCGCTGGGATACGTGCTCACGTGTCTCCTGCTGCTGGCCTTCATCATCCTCATCATCCTCCTCATCACTCGCAGACGCAGAGTCAAAGGTGGGAGCGTATATCTGCTATAGATCTATGTATGTGTGTGGGAAAACAGCAGAAATAAATGAATCATTTGGATACATTTTTGGGGAAATGTAGCTTTTCTAATTTATATGTATTGTGTCAGTATGCATTTTTCTAAAGCTGAGGTTTAACAGGGGGATCTGTGACCCAAAAAGGGTCGCTGAGATACTGCAGGGGAGTACAAAAGTGAAATATCTTTAAATACACATTAATGACAATCTAACATATTGAGGAGGACCATCCTTTAACACTGCTCTGCCAATCACAAAGCCACATGTTGCATGGCTGTCTCAGGTACCCTGTGATTGGCTAAGGGTTTAGGGGACCCCGACTCTATCTCTCTTTCCAGGTTTCTGAACTTAGATTAAAACGCAAAATAGAAATATTCATATACTGCACTTGTCATCCATTTGTACAGGTCCATTATCGAGCCAGAGTTCATTTTCTTTAGGCTATCAATACAAAGGCAAGCCACTAGAGGGAGCATACCCTGTTATATAAGTTTTGGTTTGACAAAGTTTGATGTTTATTGTGCAACTAAAACGTGTAAGAGACAACAGAGAAGCTGAGGCCCAAATTCAGAAACCAAATATTTTGGGAGTTATTCAGTGATACTGAAGTCTGAACTTAAAGCTACCTCCATTTCATTCATTCTTATTTCTTGTGCTTCCAGAGTTTCATCCACAGAGATCCATGAGGTGAGTGCTGCTCACACACACACACACAAACATATCCTACCTTTAAACACTTCTTCCATCTTCTTCTTCATCTTCTTCCTCCTATTGGCTGTTGCAGGTCAAGCAGAAGTCACAGCAGCTCAGATGAGTTTGAGATGGATGTAACTGATGTCAGTGTGTCCAACGAGGAGGAGAGAAGATTTGGTGAGTCAGAAAAGTAAACTTTGGCGTGTGTATATCTAAATTTATTTAAATGTGTTGGAAATTTAAGAAGTTTCAATTCCAATGGTGTGACCAAACCTCCACGATGAGGCATTCAGAGTTGGTTTACTCATGTTTGTACACACTGAACCTCTTAAAAATGGATGGATCCAATATGTGCAGCACTGAGTCAGTACTACTACACTAATGTTACTACTACAGTCATTCAATACATATTGTGCCAATTTACCAGCTCAGTCACACTGTGACTACAGCTTGACTAAACAGTGTTGTAATAAAATGATCCTGTGGATTGTGCCCTGACTTTGTTCCTGTTTTAATTTGTTTTTTTCTGTGGTATTTGTAGACTACAAGAACAACCTGCTGAAAGAGAAAGTTCATGTGAACTGTCAGCCTAAAGTCATCGATCTGGACAAAGGTAAAAGGCCATACTGGCCAAATTAGCCACAGCAAACCACAAACTGTGAGGCAGGAAAATTAATTATAGAGAAAGATTTATGCTGTGACCTTTTTCTCCTATTTTTTCCCCTTCATTTTTTTCTACTTCACATTTATAAAGTTACTTACAAAACAAACAGGTATATTTTAACAGCAGATAGAAAACAGCTGCAGATGTTTGTACATCTCAGCGAAACAGTATAGCTGTGAAGTCACGTTTCTTACCCTTATTATTCTGTCCTACAAGTTGTTGACATCTAAAGAGTAGAAGGGGAAAATATAACTTAGGTGAACTATATCCCACTTTTGCCAGTCATCCCTCCCTAACCTCTGTTTCCCTTTTCTTTTTGCAGAAATGGAGAAATTTTCTAAGTGAGACATAAAAATCAAAGCTGGAGTCACTGGCTGGTCCAGAGGCTGAGTTCCAAACTAAACACTGTCCTGTGTCCTGGCATGAGAGTTGAAGAGGAAGAACACAAAGATTTTTTTTTTTTGCCCTTATTCCCGCAGTAGAGACTGTATGTAAAGTGTTTTCTCTTGGTTTTTTATATTTTATTGTGAAACGTAAAGACTGGACTGCAAAGTGGTGCTATAATGCCATCCAGTGGGGAGGTTTTTAATAGCACATGAGAAAGAGACGGATGGATGGAGAAAGAGACGGGTGTACCACAGTTAAAGGTCCAGTGTGTAGTAACCGTTCAGTCTGAAGGATGAGGAGGTTAAATATATGGTATCATTGAAAAACACATGCTTTGCAATAGTCAATGAATATGTGAGAAAGAAGAAAGAATAAAAAGATTTACATGATGTCACTGACTTTTTCTCCACGATTCATTTTTTAGTGAGGATCAAAAAGAATTAAAATGTGTTTAACTTGATTTAGAGAAAGAAAGAAAAAATACAGTAGAAAACGATGCCACTTCCGATGTTTTTGAAGTCTTTTTTGCTTTTTGTTTTTTTTTTGGGGGGGGTCTTGGCGGTGGGGGTCCGGTTGTATTGCACAGCAATTTTAGCCTTTGTCCCGCGTCACGGAAATTTAAGATTTTGTTCCACTTTTTCATACCACATTACTTAATTGAAAGTAATCTATCGGTGCAGTTCATAACAATGATAGGTCACTTCGTGGATAAGGCGGTAGCTGATAGGCTGAGTGGTGTGTCAATCAAACTGATGACTCGAAGCAATCACAACACACAATCGCAACACACCTTAGCGTCTGAAAATGTAGAGCGCGCAGTTGTTTTGATACTGTGAAGGCGTCCATGTGTGCAGGAAAAATGTGTGCGGAATAAAAAAGACGCCACTTTCGAGCTGAGACCGGTGGATGGAGATTCTAAGTCAGCGTTCTGGAATTGTTGTAAAAACGGCGTTTCTGTCGGCCATGGCAGTGGATCTGATGGGAAACGACACGATGCACGTGAGTCTCACACAAGAAACACACATCAGAAAACAGACATGCGTAGTGTGTAGTGTGTAGTGTGTAGTATTTTTCTGCAAACCACCTGACACTGAGTTGAACAGAATTACTGCAGCAGAATTTAATAGTGTTTACGATGCAACGCAATGTATTTTCATGTTTTTGTCACAGATAGAGCCACATAATAATCCATAGAAGTTTTTGGTTTTACACAGACATATTTAGTATGAAATTGTTTAATTTTACATCAGGTCATATTTTGATGTGCCATATCTGCTTATTTTATATTAAATGTGGAAGAATTACGATAATGCATTGATACATTTGTTACATTGCAAATTGTTTAGTTTTTTTGGGGACTGTAGAGTTTTTGTTTGTTTTGTGGAAGTAAAAGGCGAGATACGTGCATGTTATTTGGTAAAAATAGGGTTGGCTTTAAATGATTAAAGCCAACTGTCCCACAAACCTACTTGTACCGCATTTTGTCAGTTTGAAGGTGGTCACTCTAGTTGTATGAGTTAGTCTTATCACAGACAGTAGAGCAGTGACTTTCTTGTTCTTTGACAGGGCAGTGGCGATCGTTATCATGGTTACGAGATGACAAGGGTGACATGGTTAGAGCGCCGCCACAGGTCTGTAATGCTTTAATCAAAACTCAAAAGGCTTATTTTGACAAGTTATGCAGAAAAGATAAAATTGTGAAATAAAAAATCTCATCATAGTTTTACATCTGACCAACATGACCTGAGAAATTTGTATTTTGCTGTAAAAAATTCTGAGAAAAAATGTCTAAAATGTCTAAAAATGCTGTATTTTGATGAGAAACATGCAGAAAAGATAAAATTGTTATTTCCCCCCCTAAAACATTTGTATCATACATTTTCACTATCTGTCCAGAAAGGACAGTAAATTCGGATTTTGCCTAAAAATTCTGAAAAAAAGCATTTTCTATAAAATTTTCGAAATGCTTTAATTTGTCCGACGTTATGCTGAAAAGATAAAATTCTGAAATAAAAAATCAATAAAATGTCTTCACAGTTAGTTAAATTCGGATTTTAATGAACAAAATCCAAAAAAAAAAATCTGAAATTTCTTAAAATACTGTAATTTGATGAGAATTATGCAGAAAAGAAAATTGTGAGGAAAAACTAGCTCATCAAAAATAACACGTTGAATTCGAATTATTACGAAAACTTTTAAAAAAAAAATTCAAAATGCTCCAATTTGTTTAGAAACATGCAGTAAAAATACAATTTTTATTTTTATTTCTCAAAAAGTCATGAGTTGGCCAAAAAATTCCCAAATACTCTTTTTTTCCACTGTTTTTTACAAAACGCTAAATTTTGATATGAAATGTGCAGAACAGATAAAATTTAAAAAATATTTTGAGAAAAATTTCATCAAAAAGTCACGATTTTGCCGAACAATCCAAAAAAAAAAAGTTTTTCAGCAAAACATTTTCAAAATACAAAATTTTGATGTTCATCATAGTAAGGCATGTTTTGGG